TACAGCCAATTATAAAGTGCAATTATTTTTTAGAGCCAAACACCAAAGCCAGCAGGGTAATGAGCACCTATTGCTGTTCCAGATACTCCAGAGGCTGAGGCAGGAGGTAGGCTGAGCCCAGGAATTCAGGAGATTTAGGTCAGCCTGGACAACATGGTGAGATCCTCTCATCTCTTTCATCTCACAATAAATAAAATAAAATAAAATACAAATAAGCTAAACGCCACACTTAGTGATTCTTAAATAGGGCCTATATTTTGTTCCATTTTCAATTCATTTTCTTAAACTGGCAGACTTAAGGTAACCTTTGCTTATATAGAAAAATAGCATTAAATATTTAATCCAAAGACTAAGATGCTACATATTTTAAACATCAATTTAAACAGAATTTATACAACACAGTGTATGAAAATGCCCATTTACTCAAGAATAGGATTTAATTTGTCCATGCATTGTCTCAGCTTATGATCAAATTGACTTATTGCAATATTGGATTTAAAAAGTCCAAGTACCATTTGGGGACATTCATTCATATGTAGCTGCTGATTTCATAACCACCTTCAAGCCACCTCATATTTGAATCAGGTATTAGTGATAGAGACAGGTGTGGCCTCAAGCTTTATGTTACTGAACTCTGACCCGTAAGATTGTGGGAGGAGTGTAGGTAAACTAGGAAAATAGGGCTGTGATTTTACAAAGTGAAAAAATAAAATAAAATAAAATTAAGCAGCCCAAAAATAAAGGTACAGCAACTGTTGCTGGAAATTGTTTGAAGATGAAGGGAAACTCATTCACCCAGCAAGTGGAGTTTTCTTTTGGACGTATCACAGGTTCATTCCTTCCTCACTGCCTCCAGATGTGATGAGTCAGAAGCCCCCTTTTCTTTTTCTTTTCCCATCTCCAAGTAGGAGAACCTGGGGGTGGGAGGAGGGGGGAGTGAATGTGACCTGGTGCTCAGGGTACTTGCTTATTTGGCTCTCTGGAAACCTCCGTACCTTTCCTGAGTCCCAGGAAGAAAATAGCAGAAATTGAAAAAACAACATTAGAAGATAAACTGTGGACCTGGAAGCCTTGCAGAACTTTTTAAAGGTCTGAGCAGCTTTTTTGATTAGTAGCCTTCTGATTCAGCTAACCAGAATAGAGAAGAGAGAGTCTGTAGACAGAAAGGCTTGGAAAAAAAACAAAACTTGGGGAGTTGATGCCTCTGTGTAAATCAGGAAAAAAGCTAGCAGAGAGGATCTTCTGCTCTGGATCACTTTCTTCTCTGGGCCTGGGTTTACAGCTGCAGTTCCAAGCCTTGGTAAGGCGGAAGGTCCACTAGAGTACGACTCAGGAGCCCTGGCCACCTGATTTACCCCCTGGTCTTTGTAAATTTACACAGGTTATAATTTATTATTTTCATTAACTCAGATTAGAGAGGCAAGAAGAGTGTGTGCAACAAAGAAAAGTAGGGGCAGGAAAGGCAGAGAGATAGAGTCTCAGCTTGGGTTTGTGGTGCTGCCCAGTGACAGAGAGGTCTTTGATGTTCACAGTCCTCAGCCAAGGTAAATCTCTTCACATTAAATTATACAGTAACAGCCACACACGTGTCCCTCTTGGTGCTGGGTTTCAGCCTTGCTCACCCCCACTCTCATGCCTGTTTCTGTATTTCTAGTTCAGTTAATCTCTTTACGTGCAAGAAGGAAGTCTGGATCTGTTTGCTAACTCAGGGACCACCAGATGCTTCCCAAATTCAGGGCCCAAAACAGAGTCCCTTATATGCCAAGGTCACCTCAGAGTGTCAGGTCTCTAATCCAGGAAATCAAACATAATGGTTAAAATTCTTAGAGTAGCTGTAAGTGTAAAAGATAAAAGAAAGACTTCTATTTAGAGAATGAAGTCCTGACACATACAGCTTTTAACTTTGGAAATAAAAAATTAACATTTTTAAATACAAGTATTTCTGTTAGATAAAATGAAGTATCAAATTACACACAAACACACACACACACACACACACACA